TAACAGAACAAATAAATAATGAAATAAAATACTTGCAAATAAAAATGAAATATTAATAAGAAAAATATATACATATTATGAAAATAATAAATATATAAAAAAATTTGAAAAGAAAAAATCATAAATTAAATATATAAATTTTAATTTATAATTAATAGAGACAATTTATAATTGATTTTAAAAGTTTGACCCGTCCCCAGCGGAGTCGCCAAGCTGTCGTAACCGGTTTTCGTCCGGGCACGAAATATTTATTCGGCGGGAAAATTGATGTGAATAAATGATTTTGAAAATAATTTGGGAGTCGCCATCGGCCTTTTGGGTTAGGTAGGTCGAATACCTAAAAATTATTTTTTAAAAGAGTTTTAAGAAAACATCAATTAAAAAATTGAACTGATCTGCGTTTATAACCAAAAATTCATTCTTTTTAATAATAAAAAGGGATTCGTGGTCGGTTACGTTTAGGGAAGGATTAGCACCCCTACAACGCCCAAAATTGGTACTTTTTAATTATAAATTGTCTCTATTATTAGAAATTTAAAAATTCAAAATATATTTAATTTATAATCCTATTATTTCAAAATTATGATTATGAAGAAATATATTAATTTAAATATATTTATAAATAAAATATTTATTTATTTAGAAATATCAGAAAAGGACTTCTAGGTGCTTTAAGACAGCTCTTTTCTTTGATATTGATAAATATTAATTTTTTTTATCATAATATTTAATTTTAAAATACCAGAATAGGACATCCAGTTGTATTAGGACTGCCATTTTCTTTGGTTTTGAAAAATATATATATATTAAAATATGATAAAAACATAATTTATGTAAAATCAAATTAAGATTTAATATAAATTATTATTTATTATATATATATTTATATGACTATATAATATAAATAATATTCAAATATAAACAAGTACAATTAAAACATAAATAATCAATAATAAAAATAAAATTAGAACTATATATTTAAAAGCAGTAAAACTTTATGAAAATATTTAAAATTAGTAACTAAATTATAATCTAATAAAATTAAATACCTAATTCGTAATTATTTAAAAATTCAGGGATTAAACATGTTATTTTCCTTATTTATTAATTTGGTGACTAAAATAAAACTATATAAAATTCGAATATCATATTAAATAAATTAAAAATATATACTCAGGATTAAAATATTAATTATTAAAATTAAAGGACTAAATATGATATTTATCCTAAATATATTATTTTAATATAAAGGACTAAAATAAATAAAACTAAAATTAAAGAACCAAATTAAAAGGATTATAAACTCGATTTAGTGACTAAAATGTAAAGTTATAAAACTAATGGACTACGGATGGGGTTTACCCATATATGAAATTACACAGATACCCTCATCAAAACGACGTCGTTTTGATGAGGGTATTTATACCCATTTAAGCCGGCCCCAAGGATCACCCTTATCATTTCTTCCTTTCTTCTTTTCTCTCTAACAGAGAGAAAAAAATTTCTCTCTGTCTTCTCTCTAAACCCTCCACCGGAGGGAGACAAATTCCGACCGGCAACCGTGTTCCGGCACCGGTCACCACCGCCGGCCACCGTTCACGGTGGCCGGAAATTTACAAAATACCCCAAAACTTAGATCTTCTCTTTCTAAGTCCGACTAAGGCCTTTATTTATCCTAAAAAACCCTCGGGATTTCCTAGATCTAGGATTTTACCTTCGAAGTTCGAAGGTTTCCGGTGATGTTTCGAAGTCTCCAATGACCGAGTAAGCTTTCTCTTCTTTTTTCTTTTGGCTTCTGGTTGTTGTGTTGTTGGTTGTTGTCTGCTTGTTTCTGTTTTTCCTCTGTATGTTTTTTTCCCGGTGGTTGTCCTTGTCGTTGGTATTGTTGTGTTCTCTGGCTATTGGTTTTTTTTTTACTGTCCTCTGTCTGGTTTTTTTTTTACTGTCCTCTGTCTCTGTCTCGTCTCTTTTTTTTCTTTTTCTCAGGTGGGTGGTGGCTTTTATAGCCACCACCGGTGTTCGTCTCGGACCGGTCGAAGAGGGGCTCTCGGTGAGTCACCGGACTACCAGTGGTGACTCACCGAGTAGCCATGGCGTGGACGGCTGGTATGATCTTCTGGAGCCTTCATTCGGGACGTGGCAGCGGCGGAGGCGGCGAGAAGACTGTCGGCAGCCGCGTGGAAGCTGGGGCGGCGCCGCGTGGCCCTAGGGTATCAAACCCTAGGGTTCCTCTCTGGAACCATGTGGACCGTTGGATCGTGCCAGATCCAACGGTTGTGATGAGGCGGCTGAGGATGATTAGGGTTAGGAAACCCTAACTGGAAACCCAAATATTTAGGGTTTCTGGTTAGGTTTGGACCGGTTTCAGTTGGTTTGTAACTGGGCCGGTTGAATTGTAATTGGTTTGTAATTTATATGTATTTAATATATTTAATAATAAAATAATAATAATAATAATAATAATAATAAAAATAATAATAATAATATTAATAATGATAATAATAATATTAATAATAATAATAATAATAATAATATGGATAAAAAATAGTATCTTCAAAAATATTGAAGTTTAAACATGTAGTTAAACAGAACAGATAATTCTTCCTAAGACTTCACCGATATTTTTGGACTCCTTAACATTGCGGTCAGTCGTCGCGTCATGGTTCAAGAATTTTAACTCGATTTTCTTTTGTATTTCGCTCAAAACAAGCTATCAGACGGACTTCCTCCCGTCTCTTAGGATCAACTAACCATGTGCAAGTGTCGTTCATATAGAACATTTTCACTTTTTGACCTTCAAAGTTCTCATTTGAATATTTGTTATCACCAACAACATCTGCACCGACGACTGTCACATCACTTGAGCTCGAAAAAACTTGAACTGGAAAAATTCTCGCACTTAACTGGATTGAAGGTTGAACTCGAATTTAAACCTTAATACATAAAAATTTCAAATTGCATTTAAAAAATATATATATATGTTAATTATTAATAATTTGATTTAAAAGTTTAAGTTTAAAATATTACTTTTTCAAGCTTTAGTATGATTTTCGAGTTGAGTATCAAGTAGTTTGTTAAAAACTCGAGTTAAATTCAAACTCGAATTGAATTCGTTCAAATAAAGTGTTTAACTGACTCGAGTAAATTGTTTTTTTTTTATCTTATTTACAACCCTACATATGTTGCCTCTAATAGCACATCATGAAATTAGTTTTAAAGCAAAACTGATATTGTTATTTACAACTGTCCAGCTCTTGCTTGCTTACCTGACCACCTACCGTTCTGAAGGCCTTGAAGTTGACAGAGAGAAAGCCATGAAAGATGCAAAGGCTCTGTTCAAAGCAGGGGAGAAGAAGCTTGGAACCGATGAGAACTTTTATCCGCATTTTCAGTGAAAGTAGGGCACAACTAGCTGCTATTACCTCTGCTTATCATGACATGTATGGAGGCTCCTTGAAAAAGGTTTTTCTTCTCTTCTTCTTCATTTGAAGTCTTGTTTTGATGATTGATTGACTGAATTTTTTTTTTCTTCAGGCAGTGAAGAGTGAAACATCTGGGAAGTTTGAGCATGGTCTCCTGACAATTTTGAAATGCTCACAAAATCCTGCAAAGTACTTTGCTAAGGTATGCTTTGGTTTCCCATGTTGCATTTGCTGGAAATATAAAGGTGCTACTGTAAAATAAGTAGTTAGTACTTACCGAGATAATCGAAACAAGGTAGAATTTGACCGTGTCGTAGAAAAATCACTACCTTGAAAATAAAATGGATATAATCATTGAAATAGACGATGCCTTTTGAGATTAACACCTTTAGAATTTTGTACACCCAAAATCTGAAGTGAAACCGACGATATTATCCTTCTCGAAAACTTGAATTGGAGAGAATAGTAAAAGGAGAATTGTGATTTGGATCGATAGAAATGAAAACGCGTGCATACGAAGGGCATGTCCACCAATGTTCGATGAAGATGGAAGAAAAAGATAGTATATAAACCATTACTTCTCTCTTTTGCCTTTGTTGTGTGAGGTTTAACTTCGTGTTTTTTTATAGCATTTTTTAACAGCATTTTGGTTATATAGTTGGAATATTATCAATTTGCTTATGGGAATTGTAATGCTAGCATTTTATATTTGATGTGTTTATCATAATTGCGTCTTTGAAAGTCTCATCACCTTTCTGCAACTGTGTGTAGGTACTGCATGATGCAATGGAAGGTCTGGGAACCGATGACACTGCAGTTATAAGGGTAATCGTGACGAGAACCGAGATCGATATGCACTATATAAAAGCCGAGTATCTGAGGAAATATAAGAAGACTTTGAACGATGCTGTTCACTCTGAAACATCGGGCCATTACCGGGCTTTTCTTCTTTCTCTTTTGGGGCAGAACCATTAGCCCCTAAATGGTGCGAGTAATGGCAAGAATGTATAGACTGTTAAGTGAAGTCTTTCTCACCATTGAAAGGTCTTCGAAAGCAGTTGTCGAATGGTGCTTGGACCAATCAGCTGTCATTATCTTGGACTTGTTCTCCATGGTTTTGTCTGAATCTTGTTTTCAGTTATCTTTGAGGGGCCTTGGGTTCCTTGTTTCAATTTTTCACAGAATCTTTCCCAAAATCATTATCATAAAATCTAATGAAATTTGAATCCATCTATTCGTTTGTATGAAGTATGAACTAATAAACCATTCACAGAGAACAGAATCACCTTATATTGTTGGAGGGAGATGAGGCAGATTGTACATACATTGTAAAGGTACAAATTTATTCTGCAAACCTTAATAGATAAGATACAAAAATTGCTGCAAAACAAGTTAGCATACAGAACATGCCATATACATGTACAGTTTCAACACTTGTGACGCTCGAGTGAAGTTACAACTCTAAGCACACAAACGGTGGGCCATTCCGACTCGAAAAAGGATGGGCATATCGAACCACAGTGATAAGTTGCCGGCAGCACCTCCACAGTTAAAATAATCTACAACTTCCTGTAACTATAACTTTCGAAAAGAGACCGAAATTATTATTGTTCATCCTCCCACTATCTAAACTAGCTTAATATGTTTTTCGACATTTCATTATCGGAACAACGGCACCGACTGCTAAAGAGCATACTCTGGCTCTTTGCCTCTCCTGTACTTCAGACATGACAACGGATGATGACATATCTCTTTCGGCTAAACATCTTTTGTATGGCACAAACCCCTCCTACGTTTTCGGGGAGATCGGATGCTGGCTTTTGGAATCAACTGAATCTGAATTCTTCCTATTTACCGGTTCACTAACTGAACCAGTATTTGAACCACTACAGGATCTATCATTTAGAATTTCCCTCTCTCTCATCCTCTCTTCAGCACCAGAATCTGTGTATGTTTGATTAAATGATGTAATGTGACAGAAGGGTGGACCTTTGGAAAAAGCCCACCATGGAAGGGGAGCATCATTGGTAGATTCAACAGTGTCATTTTTATCTGGGCAGAATTCTGTGTAAGGAGATATATTAGCTCCGGAAGGCACAGCTCTACGGTTATCAAAAACGTTACCTAGCGACAAACTCGTGTCTAAATATGTTGACGGTAATGCCTGAACTGTTTGTGACTCAAAACATTTTGCACCTACGGAAGGTTTAGGGGCATCTTTCATCTGAACTGTTTTCCCAAAAAGCTTAATACTAGTGGAAGGAGCAACTGGTGCAGCATCACCTTTAGCACTTACAAAGTCCTTGAAATCGACATTGAGGTTCTGGATAATGCATGAAAGAAGTCATAAAGATCAGCAATAGTGGCTTACAATATAAACAAAGGAAGAGATTTAACGCCATAATCTTACCATGGACAAATTGTTTTGCCCAACTGAATGACCAGATACTTGCACAGATGACAAAGAAGCTCTCTCTTCCTCGGGAGATAAGTTAGAGGTTGCATGGTCGGTTTCCTTTTCAATAAGGGACGTATTGATTGATTGCAGATTTGTGGTACAGGAAGTTGGAGAAGAACATCCCTTTTGTTGCTCCAAGGAAGAAGACCCCATTGCATCAAATAAAACGGATGTGGGAGATTTGTTATCATTTTCTTTAAAAAACTGGTTGGGGGATGGAGATCTCTCTGGTCGAATTGATGGTGATTTTCCTTTGAGCGAATCGACAGATTTGCGGGGATATGGATGTACTGGCTTTCTTTTTGGACGAGGAGGTGGTATCTCAATTGGTTCAATGGAACCCTCAAAGCCACCATTCGACTCTCGCACAACCTAAAACCACACTCAAAATGCATGCATATCAAAAACAAACTCGGTAGAAAGACCTGCCTAAGAGAGACTACAAATTGCATGGTAATAGAATATGCAATACATTTTCTCAATCAAGGAATTCTTGGTAATAATACATTCTCTTAATCAAGGAAATCTTGTAATTAACTTAAAGCAATTAACCTTGGAGAAAATTTTTTGAGCATGGCTTCGAATTTGAACAGCGGATTTGGTGCCTACATGTTCTGAACGAAAACAATAGTTTAAACCATAGTTATAGCAGAAAGAAGTAAATTAATTCACCCCATTGTGCACTTACCTTCTATTTGGCGCCAACCACGACCATACAACCTTAAAGCTTCAAGAAACTTCCGATGCTCTTCCTCAGTCCATTTTTCCCTCTGTTTACTTATAGTGTAGGGTTTTCTAGCCTATTTTAATGGGAAAGAAATAAATTTGAGCATTGCCATGGAAAGATTAACAATAACATGTTTGGACTGGTTTTGAAAGGAAAGTATAATTAACAGGCAACATGAAGAAAGGAACCTTGGGTGTATGGTCATGATTAAATGTGTTCAGTTTCTCAGATTGGGAACTGCCATTGGAACGGCATATACCAAATTTATGAGTATCAGCAGCCGATGTTGTGTCTTCAATTTGGTCCTACATCAGAATTTCCAATAGCTATTTAACAAGAAGAAAACAACATTCACCATATGAATCTCAATGTCTCACTTACAAATAACAACTGTCTGTACTAATATCTACTATAATTCAACATTGAACCAAATTCACCTCCAAAAAGGTGTATTTAACCATAAGAAACAAAAACACCAATCCAAAGAACAAGAACAGCAAGCAATTCCAAAATTACAAAAAAAAAAAAAACTTGGAGCATTTATGAAGTTAAGCAATCCTAGTGATGGCAAATTTGCACCTGAGCAGAGCTTGGCCTGTAATTGAGCCGAGTCAAGTTGAGTATTGTTGAGCTTGACTCGAAAAGTTTAAAATTGAACTAGACTCGGTTGGTTATAGATCCCTAAATATTAGGCAGTTAGTTCAAGATTCAAAACTTAAGTTTAAAATTAGTTTGACTTGTCTCTAGTCTGTTGCAGAGTTTGTTTTCTCTAAGATTCTATAAGTTTCGGAATTTCTCTAAGTTTTAAATTGAGTGAGAAGCTAATAAAATGTATTGCCAAGAATTTCCAGATTTTCTAAAACTCATTTGGTATCACTTTAGGTTTTCTTCTTTTTTTTCCATTTCTGATGGCTCCTTCATCATCCTCGGAAATCAATTCCTGCAGTAGCAATCATCTTCCCAGCGATGTTCTTGCTGAATCTTCCTCTGTAACCGTCCACAAACTGATGGGCCACAATTACCTTCAATGGTCCCAATCAGTTAAGATGTACATCACGGGCAGAGGCAAACTTGGCTACATTAGAGGCGGGGATGCCAAACCTGATGACTCTGATCCTAGTTATGAAAGATGGCTTCAAGACAACAGCCTCGTAATGTCCTGGTTGATCAACACCATGACCCCCGGAATTGGTGAAAACTTTTTACTCTGACACAGCCCATGAAATTTGGTGTGCTGTCAAGGAGACATATTCCAGTGCCGATTAACATATCTGAGTTGTTTGGGGTGTAAAGCTTCCAATCTCGAGCAAGATGACCTTAATGTTACCCAGTATTACAACACGCTAAACAGGTATTGGCAGCAAATTGATTTATGAGACTAATGCATGGACTTGTGTGGCAGATGCTAGTCTACAAGAAAATAGTGAACCAGAAATGGATTTTTCAGTTTCTTAATGGATTACATAAAAACTTGGACGTTGTTCGTGGCAGAATTCTCAGCACCAAACCTCTTCCTTCCATTGGTGAGGTGTTTTCCGAGGTGCACCGTGAAGAGAGTAGGTAAACACTGATGATGGTCGAGTCTTCGCCCTTGGATGCGTCTGCTCTGCTCACACACTGCCGGTTCCAGGAAACAAAAAACTGGTCAACCGTGGTGTGACCACTGTCGTCGGGTGGCCATCTCAAGGAAAATTGCTGGAAATTACATGGTCGACCTGCTGATTGGAAAACTCTATGCCTCCGGCCACAGCAGACTGCTTCTGCTAATGTCACACAATCCAAGTCCTCCCTAAATTTCAATCAGAAGCAGCGGATTCGACAAAACCTGTCTTCTGTTGACTTCCGCCTCTACAACCATCAATCAGTCTGGTAGTGTTTTTCTTCTTACCAGTTCTTCTCCTTTTTCGTGGATTGTGGATTCAGACGCCACTGATCATATGACAGGAAACCGATAATTGTTTATTGATTTCAAATTGTCTATTGATCAGCGGTTTGTGAAGACTGCTGATAGGTCTCTCACAGCAGTTAAAGGAAATGGCACAGTTGCCCTTAATAAGGATCTTATGCTCAAATCTGTTTTATATGTCCCTCAGCTACATTGCAATTTGTTGTCTATAAGCAAATTATGCAAAGATCTTCACTGCATTGCTAATTTCAGTTCTAATGGTTGTGTTTTTCAAGAAATGGAATTGGAGAGGGCAATTGGCAGTGCTAAACTGTGTAATGGTCTTTACATTATCGAAGGTTGTTCTTCTCCTTCACGATAAGCTCAATCAGCTTGTTCCCTTTCTTCTGTTCGTCTCTCTTCCACTTTATCCTCCTTAAATTCTGGTGAAATAATGTTGTGGCATTTTCGCCTAGGTTATCCAAATTTTCATTTCCTACAAAAAAAATTTCCTACATTGTTTATCAATAAAACAGCAAATTCATTTACTTGTGATGTATGCTAATTTGCAAAACACAAAAGAACCTCTTTTCCACCATCTATGTATCAACCATCGAATCCTTTCTCTCTTGTTCACACTGATATTTGGGGTCCCTCGCCTATTCCTAATGTAACAGGGGCAAAATGCTTTGTGTCCTTCATTGGTGATCACACTCGAACAACTTAGACTTATTTAATGAAAGCCAAATCTGAAACTGAGGGTATTTTTATTTAATGAAAGCCAAATCTAAAACTGAGGTATTTTTACAACATTTTACAATATGGTTCGAACCCAATTTGACAGCCACATAAAAATCCTAAAGAGAGAAAAAAACAAGCATCTCCTAGAGGTAACCATTCTTTATTGTTTTCAGCCAATGTACCTAAACGTTTTTGGGAGAGGCCTTATTTACTGCAACCTACCTCATAAACCACCTCCCTAACCGAATTTTGGGTTTTAAAACTCCAAGAGATATGTTACTTCAAGCCTATCCGTATTTCAAACCTATGGCCAGTACTCTACCTGTTCGAGTGTTTGGATCATCTGTTTTTGTCCATCTTCATAAGCAATTTCAGGGCAAGTTGGATCCTCAGGCTGTTAAGTGTGTTTTCCTTGGCTATTCTTCACTTAAAAAGGGATACAAATGTTATTCCCCTGCCACTCGGAAGTTTTATGTTTCCATGGATGTCACTTTTCATGAGTTCCAACCTTATTTTTCTAGTTCTGAAATTCAAGGGAGAGTTTTAAAGAATTTCAGCCCCAACGTGTTCTTTTACCTCTTGATGTTCCAGGTATCTCTTCACTTTCAAACTCACTGCCATCTTTACCACAACCCAAAATTGAGCCTACTTCTATACCCGGAATTCAGCCTACTTCTGTACCCAAAATTGCTCCATTAACTTCTCAGCCTGAAGCAAGAGAACTCAGTGTCTATACGAAGAGGAAGAGACGGCCTGTTTTTCAGGACACTACACAGTCTAGGACTGCTTAATAGCTTGATCCAGTTTCAATTTCTTTGAATGCTGATGAAGGCATGGTTTCCTTGAATGATAGAACTGTTTCTCCTTTAATTAATTCCTCTTACTTACCTATTGCTCAAAAGAAAGGTGTCTAGAGTTGTACCCAACATCCAATTCAGAAGTATGTAGCATATGGCAGGCTTATACCTGCATTCAAGGCTTTTACTGCCACGGTTGATACCTACTACATTCCTAAAACTATTGATGAGGCCTTAAAGGATCCTAAGTGGAGAAAGACTGTTGAAGAGGAGATTAAGGCATTGGAGTAAAATAAGACTTGGATTATGACCGATTTACCTCCGAGAAAATGGGCAGTAAATTGCGAGTGGCTATTTACAATTAAATATAATACAGATGAGAGCATTCAACGATTCAAGGCTAGGCTTTTGGCAAGAGGGTTCACTCAGTCGTATGGGATTGATTATCAAGAAACATTTGCACCGGTTGCAAAGCTCACCACCATTCGAATAATGTTATCCCTTGCTGCAAATTTAGATTGGCCACTCCATTAGCTTGATGTTAAAAACGCTTTCTCTCAATGGTTCCTTTGAGGAGGAATTATTTTTGCAAAAACCACCTGCCTTATCTTTGACTTCGAATACAGGGCAGGTTTGCAAGCTTCTCTTTATACGGCCTTAAGCAGTCGTCGCGTGCTTGGTTAGAGAGGTTTACCAAAGGCATTCTACAATTTGGCTATCTTCAGTGCCAGGCTGACAAAAACCACCTGGCTTATCTTTGACTTCGAATACAGGGCAGGTTTGCAAGCTTCTCTTTATAAGGCCTTAAGCAGTCGTCGCGTGCTTGGTTAGAGAGGTTTACCAAAGGCATTCTACAATTTGGCTATCTTCAGTGCCAGGCTGACCACACGCTATTTGTTAAAATAACTCCTAGGAACAAGAAGACTATTCTAATCATCTATGTTGATGATATAATCATCACTGGTGACGATTCTTTTGAAATTTCGAAGTTGAAGAATTTCTTGGAAAAAGAGTTTGAAACAAAGGACCTAGGTTTGTTAAGGTATTTCATGGGTATGGAGGTGGCTAGAACAAGTAGTCATTGTGATAAACCAGAGGAAATATGTTTTGGACTTGATATCCGAAACTGGTATGATGGGCTACAAACTTGCTGAAACACCAATGGAGTACAACCTAAAATTTAGAATTGAAAGTGGTGGTCCTCCAGTTAACAAGGAACACTATCAACGATTAGTAGGTAAGCTTATTTACCTATCTCTTACAAGGTTGGATATTGTTTTTCGGTGAGCATTGTAAGCCAATTTATGAGTAATCCCAAAGGAACATCTAGGGCCAATAATCATAATCTTAAGATACTTAAAAATGACAGCTGGTCATGGAATTTTTTTTGCGAAAAAATAAAGCAGGAAAGTAGAAGTTTTCATAGATGTTAGTTGGGTTGGTGAACTCATGTCCAGAAGATCAACAAGTGGGTATTGTGCTCGAGTTTGGGGTAATTTAATGACAAGAGGAGTAAAAAACAAAATGTGATTTCAGGAGCAGTGCAGAGGCTGAGTTCCGAGCATTGACACAAGGGTTGTGTGAAGGAATTTGGGCACAACGGTTGTTAGCTGAACTGGGGATGGGTCAAAGCAATGTTTTTTAACTCAATTGTGACAATCAATCAACAATTAGTATGGCAAAGAATCCGATGCATCATATGATAGGACAAAGCATGTAGAGATAGATCGTCATTTCATTTTTGAGAAGGTTACAAATGGGACTGTCAAACTCAACTATGTTCCTCCTCATCAACAGTTAGTTGATGTACTCACCAAAGCTCTTCCAAGAACTACCTTTGATGAGCTTACATCCAAGCTGGGTCTCTACAATGTCTACTCCCCAGCTTGAGGGGGAGTGTTGGTTATAGATCCCTAAATATTAGGCAGTTAGTTCAAGATTCAAAACTTAAATTTAAAATTAGTTTGTTAGACTTATCTCTAGTCTGTTGCAGAGTTTGTTTTCTCTAAGATTCTGTACGTTTGGGAATTTCTCTAAGTTGTAAATTGTGTGAGAAGATAATAAAAAGTCTTAGCAAGAAATTTTAGATTTTCTAAAGCTCACAGACTCGACTCGAAAGATTGTGAGCTTAAAATTGCCTCGACTCGAACTTGAAATCAAAAATCAAACTCGAAAAAACTTGAAATCAAAACATTATAAGACTTAGCTCGATTGAAACTTTAACTCGATTTAAGCTCGAAATTGAGTTCGAACCTGAAATATTTGAAAACGTTATATTGTAATTATTTTATTAAAAAGACATATGAATGTCAATATTATTAATAATTTAATTTAAAATTTTAAAGATGTAAAATGTTATTTTTTCGAATTGCTTGCAAATTTTTAGAGTCAGATATCTTCTGCTCGTTAAGAACTTGAGTCGAGTTCTAACTCGAGTCCATTCAAATCGACCTTTGACCAAGTCAAATTTTAATATCTGTCTAGTCTCATTTACCGCTTACCGCCCTAAGCAGAGCATTTGGCACAAAGAAGTGGATTTGAATTCCATCGCCACTATTTTTTATTAAAAAAAACATTAATCGCCAAATCTGTCTAGGATGGAAAAGATAAAAGAAAAGTTGCAGAAATCACTACACATCAAATCTGATCGATACTTTAAAAAACTAGATTCCATAAACCAAACTTTGCAAACATAAGCCGAATAAACAACACAATAAGTTTCTATTTACCTGAGTAGCCATCACGAGAAACGGATTTTGCTTAAGATCTTCCGGCGTTAATACTAGAATAACGCCTGCAACTCCCGAAAAAACGAAAATCACTCTTTAGAACATCTAATATGTCTATAAATAATTATAAAAAAACATAATAACTTCTTTCCTCGCTACTGAACAGGCAGAAAACACAGATCAGCCAGAGACTTACCGGTACGAAAGGCAAATTTCCGAAACGGAGAGTCCAGATAAGTAAACAGCGGGAGTAGAAAGAGCACAGAAGAATCGGAAAGAGAAGAAGATTAGATTACTGAGGGAGAGAAGCGGAAGTAAAGGGGAAGCACAAGGGTTTCTCTTTTTTTCTTCTTCCAAGTTACTGGTGGTGTTTGTGTATAAAAGCAGGGAAGGGCGCCACGTCAGATGCAATTTCTGGTTTATTTATTTACTTATTTTTTAACTGTTGAATCCATGGAAAATTCGAGAAAGGTTGGGAGTCTTGTGGCTGAGAATGCTCGGGCTCCTCGACACGCGGCATCTTTTGCTTGCGCTTTCTTTTTTTTATTTGGGTAAAGTACACAATAGGTTCTTAAACTAATGCTCAAATAATCTATTTAGTCATTAATTTTTAAAAATTATAAAATGATTGTACAATTTATCACAATATCATAAACAGCCATTAAATTAACCGAATTATTATAAAATTGACATTATTTTTTTACCAAATTTTTATGATATAGTTATTAAGGTTATCTACCTACCTCTAACAAAACGGGTATTAAATTTATCAAACTTTATGATCATAAAAAATGTTATGGTGACTATTTTGTAACAATTTGGTAAATTTAACAACAATTTTAAACTTTTGAAACTTTAATAAGTGAGGATAATTTTTGCATAGTATAGAAACCTTTGATGTACTTTTATTTTTCAGGAAAAATAATGAGTTTTATTTTGCGGAAGATATTGACTATTGAGTGATGATGAATGGATAAATGAAGATATTTTATGATTTTTTATCCCACGCGATATTCCCTCACTCTCCTTCCTCAGACTGGTCTGCCCCACTAGTTATAGCGCGTGTCATACATCTACATACAGAGGCAAATTGAGGAGGGAAATTTCAAAGGAGAGAGACAGAGACAGCTGGCCAAGTGCTTGTGACACTAAGAAAGCTGGAGTGGGGTCCACCAAACGTCCTCTGCTCTTTTTGCCACGCCAGCCCCTTCTTTACCCTAAAGCCACGCGTACCAGCTACAACCAATACCGCCCATGTGGTTTTTATTATATTTTAATCATTTTTATAATTTTCATATTAATATATTTACAATATTAATTAAAATTTAATATATAGACTAATTTTATAAATAAGTTTTATAAAATAATATTAAAATACAACATTCATTAGAATATATTAATACATTAATGAAATAAATATTAAATTATACATAAATCTTTTACTCAATGTGTAATTAGGTACATTAACTTTTATTTGGTATAATTATATATAAAAATGGATTGCCGTTTATATATGCTATTTAAAATTTTGGTTTTAAATCAATTATATATAACTAAAGAAGTAAATCTACTTTAGATACCGTGCGACATCAATTTAGACGATGGTAGCCTATCGATGATTATCTTTTTTTTTGTTTTTTTTTAATAAAATTAATTATGCATGTATTGCACGTTTATCTTTATTTTTATAATATATTTGTCTCTGTTTTTGTGACACGTTTTTTTATTTTTTTTCTCGGTTGTTTGTCCATTCTTTTATTTATGTTTTCTTTAGGTTGGATTTGACGATACCTCAATTGATCAAGATAATACTTATTCGAAATCTTGTTTATCTTCTATGCTATGGACCTTTGGAGTGAATTTGGAAGCGTAGTTTTGCGTTTGTGGATAGTTTCTCACGACGCTCGACCCTGATTTGTACTCGATGATCTTTCAATCGAGATTTGTTCATATTTTTTATTAAAATCTCTTGGTTGAGTTTTTATCATTTTCTATGTATGATCATTATATAATCTAAAGTGTCTAGTTTCAATGTTATAGGAAAAGTTCAAATTGTGTATTTAGTTTACGTTGATATTTGTAAGATCTTATTGTAATTTCAAATATTTTTACTTTTTTTAATAATAATAGCGTCTTGTATTAAAAAAATATAACTAAAGAAGTAATATATCTATTTATTTTCATATTTAATAAATATAATTATTCATGTACGTAGTTTCTAATCGTTAAATGAAACTATACCGACAAAACTATTTAATTAAGTATAAGAGTTTAATCAAATTAAAAAGCATAAAATCAAAATTCATTTAAAAATTACATATTTTACTAAAAAAAAACATGTAAACTTTTAAGATTTATTTGTATATTAATTAATGTTATAAATATTTTTTTATAAAACACATTAGCTTTTTCTGTATAATATACTAATTAGTGTTATAATTAAAATATATTAATTAGTGCTATGATTAGTTATTAAATTAAATAAAATTACAATATTATTTATAAATTATAATATTGTTTATAAATTATAATATGATTGATATATTTTAATAAAATAAATGTAATTTGTGATATAATAAATATATTTAATCAATTACAAAGTCAGAGTGTAATATTTTTAGACCATTATTTATTTTAACAATGGTTCAATCTGATAATTGACACGTGTAAATATAGGGAGGTGATTGGTGGTGCAGAAGATAATTGACACGTGGATGAAACAATGGATTGGATTGGCTTAAGTCGCCCTATCCAAACGCCAATGGCCAATTTCAGAAACCAGAAGAAGATAAAGTTACCAAATAATAATTGAATATTATAACCCAAAAAAAGGTAGGAAATTCGAGAGCCACAAGCTGGTGAGAGGCTGTTGACCGTTGGATCAAATACCGAGAGGGACCCTGTTATCCACCACGTGGTCCCGTCTTCGTTAGCTCCAAAACCTAAAATATACAAACAATCAATATCTGCTCAAATATCTATGGTAAAATAAATAAATGGGCTACTTAAAATGTCATCCAGATTTATATTGATCTTATGCCTTCAGCTTTATTTTCGATTTCGTTTTAGGTATCAAATCGTTAATAATATAATAAAATTGTTTTCGTGAAATTTAATTTGTGTATTATTCTAACCCTTACAAGCAATCTTTAAATCTATCTTTAGACCGTCGATGTCGATCAATCGATGGTTGTCATCAATGTCATTGTATAAAATGTTTACATTAATTTTTACAAGCTATCTTCAAAATCATCTAAAAATTTGATTGGCTAATACTCTAATCACCTTTTTACGACCATGTAATGATGCATGTCTTATAATATACGAATTTAACCAATTTTTTTTGGATTTGCCAAAATGACCAACAAATTCGCAACGTAATCTCAAATTCGCAACGCGAACTCCAATTTCACAATCCAGTTTCCAATTTCGCAACGCGAATATGTAAATCGCAACACATAAGTCAAATTCGCAACGCGATAGTCAAATTCACAACACAAAGTCAAATTCGCTACGCGATAGTCAAATTCGCAACACAAAAGTCAAATTCGCAACGCGAATTTGTAAATCGCAACACATAAGTCAAATTCGTAACGCAAAAGTCAAATGTTTTTACACGAAACACAATATTAATTTCGCAACACAAATATAAACAATATTATCGCAAATCATCTATAACCTAAAACCCTAAATCACAACTCAATCTCATCTCCATCTCTCACTCTCTACGGCGACATCCGTCCCCATCTCCGACGAAATCCGTCTATCTCCATCTCTCAGAGCAACCCTCACAACCATTCACGGTCAGAAATGGAAAATCAACCACTGAGGGTTAGTTTTTTTAATCTCTTATTTTTATTTTGAAATTTTTGTATTATTATTAGATTTTCTTATATTGATGATAAATTTACTGGTAATTTCGATATATATAGATTAACCATTTCACTGAGATTGCTTAGTAAATTCATTCGGTTGCTGCCAATACTACTAAATTGTTTAGTCTTTAACCCTGTGAAGTTAGTATTTGTCTTTGTTTTGTCTTTTTGTTGGAGAAACCCTAAATCGCAACACCAAAATCGCAACGCGAAAATAAAAATTGCAACGCGATTTTAGTTTCGCGTTGCGATTTTCATTTTCGCTTTGCGAATTTAAGTTTCATAAACTTCTTTTATTCTGTAAATTGAAACTTGAATGAATTGCATTACTTCAACAAAAAAACAAAGACAAATACTAAATTCACAATGTTGCTAATTTAAGTTTCAAGAATAAACTACTACTCTTTATGTTGTCCTTGAACCTGCACTAAACATATATGTTGTCATTTTAAATGTTTATATAAGTGCTTACTTCTGGAATGTTATCTGATGCATTTTGTGAACTATGATGGAATAATGACTTGGTTGAATACCGTGCTAGTTTGAAACATATTTGGTTTTGTTTTCACTGTTTAATATCATGTCTGTTTATAGTGTATAATAAGGAGTTTTTGGTATATCTAACTGTATGTTTATTATTTTTGTAGAAATTTTTTTCGGCTGCATTGACCTTAAGGAATAAATTAAGCCTAGCCACTAAAATTGCGTCGACGCTTACACCTCTACAAAGAAAATTGTTTGAGGATACTTGCTTCGGGCCATGGCTGAAAATGCAACATACGGGTGGAGATGCTATGTTGACACATTTGTTTCTTCGTACCATGATTAACGATATACCCGAGGGGATATAACGTGGTGATGAGGAGATATGGTTTCATTTTCCTCCGGTATATACTTGTTTTGGGTGGGAGGAGTTTTGCTTAATCATTGGTCTACACTTCAGACACGATGATGTAGGTCGGTACACTAGTCATATCGCCCGCCCTTCATGGTTATCTCGGGTTTTTCCTGAGCTGGCAAAGTCGAAGCCGAGTTTACACGTCGACGACTTGAAGAGATTATTTGATAAAGATGGTTTTACTCGGATGGATGACCTTGATGTTGTCCGAGTATGCCATTTATTACTTGGAAGAAGTTGTCGTTTGTCTTTGAGGACCGAAAAAGTTTGCGAGGCGATGGTTCTAAATACACTTTGACAGGCTTTACTTGGGCCTTTAAGGTAAGAATTTCTATATAATGTTTCCAAAATTATAATTAATTATTTAACAATTACTAATGTTTGTGTATTATATTGTTTGTAGATTTGGATATTTGAGGCTTTCCTCAGCATGCGGACATATGCGATAAAAAGATCAAATGATATTCTTAGGGCTATTACCTGGAAGAGGATCCACATGTTGGATTGGGAAGAGTTACTCCCATATACAACGATGAATGATGTAAGTTAACACACAAATAATACCATATATAAACA